GTCCGCTTTACTATGGTCGGTGGCAATGCCCCGATCATGAGAGCGGAGGTTGCTACCCTGCTGGCGAAGGGTGCAATCGAGGCTGTCCCTCCAGCCGAGATGAGGTCAGGGTTCTACAGCCCCTACTTCATTGTCCCCAAGAAAACCGGTGGGTTACGGCCAATCCTGGACTTGCGCGTCCTGAACCGCTCCCTTCACAGGCTGCCGTTCAAGATGCTCACGGCCAAACGCATTTTCGAATGCGTGCGGCCACAGGATTGGTTTGCAGCGATAGACCTGAAGGACGCCTACTTTCATGTCTCCATTTTACCTCGACACAGACCGTTTCTTCGGTTTGCTTTCGAGGGGCAGGCATACCAGTACGCGGTCCTCCCATTCGGGTTGGCTCTGTCTCCTCGCGTCTTTACGAAGGTCGTCGAGGCAGCCCTTGTTCCCCTACGCGAACACGGGGTTCGCATCCTGAATTATCTCGACGACTGGCTAATATTAGCTCACTCTCGAGATCAGGTTTGCGAACACAGAGACCTTGTGCTCCGGCACCTAGCCCGTCTGGGCCTTCGGGTCAACTGGGAGAAGAGCAAACTTTGCCCCGTGCAGAGGATCTCTTTTCTCGGTATGGAGATAGACTCGGTCGCCATGTCCGCGCAGCTTACGAGCGAGCGCGCACACTCACTGCTGACTTGTCTTCGACAGTTCGAGGGCAAGAGTGCGGTCCCACTGAAACTTTTACAGAGGCTCCTGGGGCATATGGCGTCCGCAGCCGCGGCAACGCCACTCGGATTGCTTCATATGAGACCGCTTCAGCTGTGGCTTCGCGATCGGGTCCCGAGGTGGGCATGGCATCGCGGTACGCTCAGAGTTCCAATAACTCCGACCTGCCGTCAGACCTTCACCCCGTGGCGGAACCTCAGCTTTCTACGGGCCGGAGTTCCCCTAGAACGAGTTTCCAGGCATGTTGTCGTCTCCACAGATGCCTCTGCCACGGGCTGGGGCGCCATGTGCAATGGACATGCAGCCGCGGGCTCCTGGACAGGACCCCAGCGCCTCATGCATGTCAATTGCCTCGAGTTGCTGGCAGTACGCCTTGCCCTGCACCGCTTCCACGCGTTGCTCCTGGGTCAACACGTACTTGTCCGCTCGGACAATACCGCGACTGTAGCGTACATCAACCGTCAGGGTGGTCTACGCTCTCGCCGTATGTCGCAACTCGCACGCCACCTCCTCTTATGGAGTCAGAAGCACCTGAGGTCCCTTCGTGCTATTTACATTCCAGGAGTGCGGAACCTTGCAGCCGACGAGCTGTCACGGCTCCGGCCAACCTCTGGCGAATGGAGACTCCATCCCCAGTCGGTCCAGCTGATATGGGACCAGTTCGGGGACGCACAGATAGATCTGTTTGCCTCCCTCGACTCATCCCATTGCGCCCTGTATTACTCCCTGACCGAGGGCACGCTCGGCACGGATGCACTGGCGCACAGCTGGCCGCAGGGCCTACGCAAGTATGCGTTTCCCCCAGTGAGCCTTCTCGCACGTACTCTGTGCAAGATCAAGGAGGACGAGGAGCAGGTCATATTGGTCGCCCCATACTGGCCCACCAAGACCTGGTTCTCCGAACTGGTACTCCTCGCGACAGCACCTCCTTGGCCAAATCCTCTGAGGAAGGACCTCCTTTCTCAGAGACGGGGCACCCTATGGCACCCTCGTCCCGATCTTTGGAGACTCCACGTGTGGCTCCTGGACGGGACGAGGCAGGTTTGAGTACCCTGCCACCAGCGGTGGCGGCTACCATCACTTCCGCTAGAGCATCGTCCACGAGACATGTCTATGCGTTGAAGTGGAACCTCTTCGTTAACTGGTGCTCTTCTCGCCGAGAAGACCCCAGGAGATGCTCGATCAGCGTTGTGCTTTCCTTCCTGCAAGACGGGTTGGAGCGAAGGCTGTCTCCCTCCACCCTGAAGGTGTATGTGGCCGCTATCGCCGCATATCACGAAGCAGCTGAAGGTAAGTCTCTTGGAAAGCACGACCTGATCCTCAGGTTCCTGAGAGGAGCGAGGAGACTGAATCCTCCTCGCCCTCCTCTCGTTCCCTCTTGGGACCTCTCAGTGGTCTTAAGTGCCCTGCAGAGGGCTCCCTTTGAGCCTCTGCAATCAGCTGAGCTTAAGATCCTGTCAATGAAGACAGCGCTCCTGGTTGCACTGGCCTCCATCAAGAGGGTAGGGGACCTGCACGCATTCTCCGTTGACGAAGCGTGCCTGGAGTTCGGGCCCGGCCTCTCTCACGTGATCCTGAGACCCCGGCCCGGATATGTGCCCAAGGTTCCCACCACTCCCTTCCGGGACCAGGTGGTGAACCTGCAAGCGCTGCCCCGGGAGGAGGCAGACCCAGCCTTGGCACTGCTCTGTCCAGTACGCGCACTCCGTGCTTACGTAGACAGGACGCAGTGTTTCAGGACCTCAGACCAGCTCTTTGTCTGTTATGGTGGGAAGCTGAAGGGAAAGGCTCTCTCCAAACAAAGGTTGTCTCACTGGATAGTGGACGCCATTGCTTTAGCATACCAGCAGCAAGGTCGACCATGCCCCCTTGGTGTGACCGCCCACTCCACCCGGAGTGTGGCGTCCTCTTGGGCTTTAGCGCGTGGCGCCTCGCTAACAGACATCTGCAGAGCTGCAGGCTGGGCGACACCTAACACATTCGCCAGATTCTACAATCTCCGAGTGGAGCCAGTCTCCGCCCATGTACTGTCTTTTTCAAGCTAACATGGGAGCTGTTAAGTGTCTCGCTTGCTCGCCATTCCACTCCACGGACTGGATACGTGCGATATTTCCTCAGATGAGCCTTCCCCTATGAAGCCCTGAGTTCCTCCAGCACTGTTGACGCTGGCGCCAGTGTCTATTGCCTGTGCGTCGGCTAGGTGCCTCCGTGGGCATGGTTCCTCCTCTGAGTAACCCCCACATGTGTATTTTCCACTGTAAGCCTCTTTGAGCATGTGTCTTTCCCTCGGCATGTCACCTGCCACTCCTGGAGTTGAAAGTAGATGCCACCCTACGGGCTGGTCACTCCAGTGTTCCTCCATATGTAGCCCCCTTGGGCCATATGTGTATTCTTAAGTCCTCCCTATGGGTAGGCATGCTGCGGCATATCTCCCCCGAGATATGCTTCCCAGTGTACCTTGGTATTCCTGTGTTAGTAGGACTCCTTCGTCCGTGCCTATATCACGACAGGGAGGTCAGACTTCGCAGGGCACTGGAAGACAGCTGTGAAGGTGGCGTGATTACACGGGGACCCCCATTCTCCGTCATCCGACGTAACTCGGAGTGACTACGAAAGGGAACGTCTCGGTTACGGATGTAACCCTCGTTCCCTGAGTAGGGAACGGAGACGCCTGAGTTCAGTCTCGGCTCCTCAGCGAAGACATGATCTGCTGTTGCAGGTGTTTCTCCTTAAATACTCACGCAGTGAGGCGGAGATACATTATGCAAATTCCGCAGACCCATGGCATTTCTTTGCCATTGGCTCGTTTTTTAATACTCGAAGAGGATTGGCTTTCTGGCGAAACCCCCATTCTCCGTCATCCGACGTAACGTCTCCGTTCCCTACTCAGGGAACGAGGGTTACATCCGTAACCGAGACGTTTCCTTATCACTGAAGCAGCTTTGGAACAATCTACATTGTTAAAAGCGCTATAAATGAAGATGACTTGACTTGACTTGACCGTAGACTATTTACATCAAGAGGTTGCAGGAGTGTTTTTTAATTAATTTTTTTATCTGGTTTGATCTTGAGACAAAACAGCGACACTGACACATTTTAAGATATGCCAGTGCAAGTAGCTTTGAGCTAAAACAGCTCAATAAAGGATTTTAGTCTGGGACTACTCTTTAAAGAGACTGAAGAGTAAATGTGTTTATGCTGCCCCCCAGCGTCGCAAATTTATTTAATAATAATAAAAAACTCTACACAAGGTTCAAACAATCTCATAATAACGTTGTTACGTCTAGTATTTAAAAAAAAAAATCATTACATGAGTTTTGACAAAGAGATTGTGATGAACTGCTCGTGTTGTAACAGACATTGCTTATAAAGTCACTTTGAAGAAAAGTGTCTGCTGCTATTTTAGCAAAACAAATACCAAACTATTAAAAAATATATATTTAAACAAATGGTTTAAAATGCTATATTCATAAAATGCGAATATTCAGCTTTATGCAGTTAATTGTTGATTTGCTTGTGCTGAAATCTGGGAAACTATGTTTTGGGTTAGAAATTGTTTAATTTTTACAATGCAAACTTGCAAAAAACACTCCTGGTTAAATGTGGATACCCATGTTTAGTTTGGTAAAATACTAGGCCTACAGAGTGTTTGCTATCTTTATCAGTTTGGCAAAAAAAAAAAAAAAAAACTAGTATAGCCTTCATGTTCACATGTGGAAAGTTAAATACAAATATATAACACAGAAATCATATTTAAATGATTTATTACAAATATGTAAGATTTTTGTCAGCAACAATAATGCAAGTCAAAGACTAAAATTAATTAAACTTTGGAACATGGAATGTCTCAAAAACTGTTATTAAATTGTATGGAATATAGGACATACAAAAGCATGCATTAAGCAATTGTAATGTTAAAAAAACTTCATGAGTTCATAGGTGTCCCGGTTTAGTCAGTATCCCACTTTACACTAATCCACCCCTACAAAGTTTTTATGTTTGTAAAATATCGACGTCTAAATTTGAAAGCTGAATATACAGAAACAACAAGAGGAACTTCGCTGTGTCTTTTAAACACGCATTCATTCATATTAGCCTACCATTTCTTTTTTGTTTGTGTGTAATGTAGTAAGCTAGTTGTTATTGTTCAAGTATAACAACAGAAAGCGCGCTAAAGAGCCAACAGAAGTGACGCTTGTCTTTGGATTAGAGCAGGTCTGACGCGTCGCGCGCATACTTTAAGAAAGCGAAAGTAAGCTGAAAGCGAAAGCGATAGTTAAGACGAGGCCTCGTGTGAAAGACCGCGGACAAAAACTCTTATGTTCATGATAAAATTATGATTTTATTATAGCTCTTTTTTGTGTAAACCATGTACATTAGGTTTATTGTTGTAGTAGCAATACTCCTGGTATTCGCTGATGGTTCGTATTATCACTTTATGTTGAAACGCGGAAATAGCCATCGAGTTTGTCTTTCTCATTTATTAAAGCTATCAGTTTCTCTTTTATTTCTCTATAGGCTTCACTGTGCACGGTCCATCTGGTCCTCTGGTTGCTCCCCTGGGATCTTCAGTGATTTTGCCCTGTTATGTTGATAAACCTTTACCAGTGAAGGGTCTGGAGGTGCAATGGGGAAGAACAGACTCAGAGACTCTGGTTCATCTGTATCAAGATGGTGAGAGTCGAGCAGAGGTCCAGCAGCAGGATTATCAGGATAGAGCTCATTTCTTTACTGATCAGATTCAACAAGGAATCTTCTCCATCCGTCTGGACAATCTGACTGCTGAAGATCAGGGAAATTACACATGTAAAGTTTACAGTCAGCAGGATTCTGGAGAGACTGTGGTTCAAATAAAAGATGTTGGTGAGTGAAAGCCACTTGAATTCTGTTGAAAATTTCAATCAAATGCCATTTTTTGTATTTATGTGTATGTTAAACCATTATTCTTTCAGAGCGTCTGCTGGTATCAGGATCGAGTCGCTCCATATCTGCATATGATGGTGAGGATGTCACTCTGAACTGCTCTGTCGACTCTCACATCAAACCTGAACACATTGAAGAGATTTCATGGAGGAAAACAGATGAAGATGAAGATATTCAGGTTCTGCTTTACCAGAACAATGAAGCTTTTCCAGATTCATCAGATGAGCAATACAGAGACCGAGTTGAGTTCTTCACTGATGAAATCCCCAAAGGAAACTTCTCTCTCAGACTGAAGAGTGTCAGAACTGAGGACAAAGGAGTTTACATCTGTCAAGTGTTTGCTGGAGTACTTTCAGCCAATACAACTGTGGTACTGGAGCAACTGGGTGAGTCGACAAAACATGGCAAAATAAATAATGCAGTCTGTTAACACTAGCCAACCTTCCTCAAAGGCTATTGTGTAAACAAGATGGTACTTTAGCTATTTACACTTGGTGTGAAAAGTATCTACCTTTTTATACATTTGGGACCAGATTTAATTTAACAGGGTAAATTAGTGTGAGATAGCATTAGCAATGCCATAAAAGCGTCAATATGAGTGTAAAGTTATGCGGCATTCATAGTAAAACTAGGCGTTGTAAGCTCCATATTTTTGTTATTTTGGGGAGGAGACGAGGTGAGGATTCATGCAAACAGAATTTTCCGCTGATTAGCATTTCTAAAGGGGATTTTGAGCAGGTTCTGGCATACGCATGGTTTTACAAATTGGAAAACTTTTCATCTATAAAACATTTTCAGAGAAGAATTGTTTTCATTCATTTCTATTGCCAAATGTTTTTTTATTGTTTTAAACAAAACTCATTTATGCAGTTTCGCCTATAAAATAAACATATTTTAGAATGTTTAGATATTTCTACTGGAAACTGAAGAGGTTGTACTTTGTGTGGTAACTTTATTTTACAGTGTCCTTGTTACATATCTGCCCTATAAAGGCAAAAGACCTTAACTCGCTACCCACATAGCAACACTGTTTCAGCCCAGATCCGGCCCACATCTGGCACTTGTGGAATACTGATCTGGCCCACATGCAGTGTTGAATTAGCCTGACTACGTCAGACTTCGTACTTCCGCTCAATTTCAGTTCGCTTCTGTACTCAGTCTGAGACATCGACATGTCAGTTTTTTCACATTGTTTCAGTTTTCCTCCGGCCTGAAAACAGCCGGCCAATCAACGAACAGAAGGCGGGCTGAGAGCCGTGATGTAAATGCTAAGCACCGAGTTTAAGATTGACCCCGGACATGGAGACACGGGATGCAATTCGCTCTGTTGTGGAGAATATTCCCGGCATTTGCAAACTGAAGCCGAACAAGAAGAGTGTTTGTTAAACATTTTGAATGGAGGTGATGTTGTGGCCCTACTCCCGACAGGTTTTGGGAAAAGTTTAATTTATCAACTATGACCGATCGTCAGCGAGAAACTGGGGAGGCCAAAGGCCGGTAAGGCGATAGTTGTGATTGTGTCCACCTTGGTTGCACTCATGGAGGATCAGGTTAAGGAGGCAGCAAAACTCGGTCAGCCATGTTCACTCCGGTATTTCGCTTGATGGTTTCGTTTTTTGCATCATACATGTGTTTACAGTGGAAGTTCGATGCGGCTGAGCCCCCCCCCCCCGAGAGAAAGAAAACACTTTTCAATTATGCCATGCCAGACTCTGTCGGCTAGCGTTGAATTTGAATGACGGCCCTTGGGCAGAGCAATACATGCAAAGAAGCAGGATGGCATGACAAATTCTCAAGGGACAGACACTTAGGACCACCAGCATGCAAATTAAACCAATATAACATAGAACGAGCATTGGCTGCCCAATAATATCACTGAAAAGTGGGTAATGATAGTCCTCCATGCTCTCGGTGCGCTGCAGAGCACTTTTACGGATGCATGCATTTTTCCCATTCCATATAAAAGCTGATATCAGCTTGTCTATCAGTAGGAAAAACGATTTGGTTAAAAATATCGGGATACACTGGAACAGATATAGAAATCTAGGTAGGATATTCATCTTGACGGTGTTTATCCTGCCTCCTAGTGATAGCGGTAATGTACCCCAACGCTCAAAATCTTGTTTTATAGAATATATCAATGGAATACAATTTGTTTTATAGAGGTTCTTGTAATTATTAGTAACCCATATACCTAAATACTTAAATTTATCTTTACTCAATTTAAATGGTAAGGAGTTAAATGTGATAAGTCTGGCTGCAGTGTTAATCGGCATAAGTTCACTTTTTTGCATGTTTATTTTATATCCTGATATTTTCCCAAAACTACCAAGTAATGACAGTAGACGAGGCAGGGTCTTAAGTGGCTCAGACACAAACAAGAGGGTATCATCCGCATAAAGGGACACTTTATGTTCGGATTCACCCCTCAGTATGCCTTTAATAGTATTATCGGACCGTATTGCCACTGCCAGGGGCTCAATCATCAGTGCAAATAATGAGGGGGATAATGGGCAACCCTGCCTAGTACCGCGGCCTAATTGGAAAAAGGATGATATGTTATTGTTTGTCCAAATTGCTGCTACAGGAGAGGAATATAAAACATAATCCATGAAATGAATTTGACACCAAAGCCTCATTTCTACTGGATTCAGATGTATATAATTTTGAATAATACTCCATAAACCTATTATTAATCTCTAATGGATCAGCACATTTTTTGTCGTGTTCATCAATAATTTCGAGGATTGACTGGTCGACACTTTGTTGCCGTAGTTGATGAGCTAAGATTTTCCCTATTTGTTCGCCGTGTTCATAAGACTTGTGTCTGGATTTATTCAAAAGGTTCTCAATAAGTTTCGTAGATAACAGATTTAATTCTGTCTGAAGAGCCAATCGTTCCTTAAATAAATCAACTTATGGCGAGTGTGAGAGAACCCCATCGATTTGCAGGATATCACTTTCTATCTTTTTAAGCCTTTCCTGTTGTTTTTTATTTACACGGGCACTATACGATATGATTTGGCTGCTGAGATAGGCTTTTACCTTTCCCAAATTAGACAGTAGGACACCCCTGGGGTCCGGTTATGCTCTAAAAACTCATGTATTTCCTTAGAAATAAATTTACCAAACTCAGTATCCGTGAGAAGTAGGCTAATGTATCGCCACGGCCGATATCCACTGTCGTAGGCAAGTTTAAAGTAATTAACAGTGGTGCGTGGTCTGATATCACTATTGCCTGGCATTCACATTTACTGACTAATGAAAGTAAACTATTATCAACAAAAAGATAATCGATTTATTAACACACATACAGTCAGCTTAGGCCGACGGTGTTTTCAGTGCAGTAAATGTGCCCGCTGTCCCGTGCCCACATTCACTCACAGACATGTTAAGCCCCACGGAGCTCGCCCCACTGGCTCTCTCTCAGCAGACTGCTATAAGGGAATGGAGCGCGGCCAGGCTGCCCGCCGCGATCGGCGCGCCCCCCGCCTCAAACACTGCAAGCACACACAATCTAAAGACACGGGAGGCTGACCGGTTGACTGTTTGTTGACTTTTGCGACAGTGCTGCGGAGCTTGTGGCCTCTAGGGACGCTAGACGTGAAAGTTACAGGTCGAGCGCCACTAGTGGCCAAAAGTTCCGCGGTGTGCCTACTTTTCGGCGTTTCACCGGTGATTTAGAGATTTAACATTCCAACTAACAAAGTGTATCTGGCAAGTACCTGATACATCAGTGTGAGCGTTCATTTATATTAGTGTTAAGTATTTATAAATTGTAGTAGTACGGATCCAGCCTGCGTAACATTTGTGCCACGTAAACAGAAGAGAGTCCCTACACTAAACCAGAGTTAGCAAAACAAAAAATAGGAGCAATCAATTTAGTGCAACAGTAACTTCCCCGTTCACCAACTAGAACATGGTGAAAAAATAACCCCTCGCAGATAACAAATCCACACATAAAGTGCTTTTTAAAGAACTCTAGCTCTGCAGCTTGCTCTGCACAGCCATGTTAACAAAATATTTTAATATAACCCCAATATTTCTAATTAAATAGAAAAATAAAGGAAGAGTGCACTGTAAAAAATTGCTGTAAAAAAACAGCCAAATTTTACAGTAACATGCTGTTTTCCATTAAAACAGTAATATACCGTAGAAAAAATGCATTCGTGGTGATATTTGTCATTTTCGAGAAAGTAGCCTACAGGAATATACTGTGAATTACCAGCGCTTAAAGTCGACACTCAGAGGCTGTGTTCCCAATCACACCCTATACCCTCATTCACTATTCCCTACATTAGTTCACTAATATAGTCCAATTGACTGAGGGAATAATTCAGTAAATTTTCTCTAAGTTAATTGAGACCCTGATGAACACCTGCTGTTAACAATCAGAATCACTGAAGGAAAGAGGAACAAGAAGAACAGAAAAAAAGATGAAATCAAGATAAAAGACATTAAATCTTAGCAAAAGATCTCAGCAGAGGATTAAACAACTCCACAAACAGCATTACCAGCTTCACTTAATACTAACCAGACAGACTTTATTTCTGTCAGACTTCTACAGAAGGTCTTATTAAAAGGTGACAGAGGTTTAGACGTCATTATATTTTCATTTGATGTTACCGTAATGGTGATCAGTGATTGCTGTAGTTGGGCTCTTGACCCTTGACTTTTGAACATTAGTTTTTCTTTGGCTGCTGTAGCTGTGACTTTTTAAAATACATTAGTAATGGCTCAAAGCTGAAGCAAACAAGATGACAATGGCTGTTTGTTAATAGTCACAATCATCATGTAACAGCCCAATTCACTGATCTCATTTGCTGCCTAAAGTTGTTAAATGGTTGATGTTTTGTAGTTTTGATTTTGTTGCCATTGTGATTTTACAGATTGAGATCTATCGGGGATTTGACGTCCAGAAAATATTAATGATTTTAAAAAGGATATACTCAGAACATTTTGAACTTCTTGATCAGCCAGACACACAGGCATCAAGAACTGGCGTATGAATCTCAACAATGGTGACAATCATAAGTTTTATGCTGCAATGCATGTTGGGTACCCAAAAAAAAGCCATGACTCCCAGCATGCATTGCAGCATGAATAAATTATGCAGCTGAATTGTCTGGTTCTTCGCTTAAATTTTTTACTTTTTGCTTTTATTTTTGCTTTTGGTTTTGTGTTGACTTTTAGTTGCGTATTTGGGGATGTTTAAATTTAATGTTATCTTTTTTGTTGATTGTCACCATTTCTGAGATTCATTGGCTGATTCTTGATGTTAGTGTGTGTCGAAGTAAAGCCATAGTTCAAAATTTTTTATTGAATGATGAGTTTAAAAATCCTTCATAACTAGGGCTGGGCGATATATCGCACGATATTGTTATGGGCATCTCGTCAGTAAAGCCGGTTCCTTGATTAGTAGTAAATCGACTTCACCTGCTTTCAGATGGAGCGGCATTTACTACAAAGAGCCGTAGTTAACTGACAAGCTGAGCCAAATCGCACTAATATCGCGGACGTATCGCCAGCGATATTTAATGCGATATGGCTCAGCTTGTCAGTTAACTACGGCTCTTTGTACACAGCAAAAACTCCAGTGTTAAATGATCACACCTGTGAGTGTATGAGTCCACACTCAAGAGTATTAAAGTTAAGGAGATATTTAAGTGATTAATTGAGTGATGATTGAGCATTATTGAAGACACCTAAAGCAGAATCACTGAAGGAGAAAACTGGAATTTCAGGTCACCATTATGGAGATGAGTGTTTGCTTTAGTTGGGCTCTTGACCCTTATATTCATAACTTTAGATTTTGTTCGGCTGTTGTATCCGAGCTATACCTGCAAGATGAACAAAGAAAAACAATGATCTAATGGTATTGATTATATTATGACATTTATCATTTGAGCTATTTGTTTGTGATTTATGCTGTTGGTTACAGCATAACTGAGATTCTGCATAAATATCAAGAATTTGTGATATAATATAAGGGATTTCTTAAAAGTTGTAAAAAAAAAAAATCTTTGTTTTAGGCACACACAGATATCACGATTCAGTCAATGCATCTCAACAATGGTGATGAGCAGAATATTCAATTAGGAAAAGTAAATTACATAGACAATTCAGATCATAATTTATTCATACCGCAATGCATGATGGGAGCCATTAATGAGTTGTGATTGGTGGCAACAAGGATTATTATTGTCACCACGGTTGAGATTCACAGGCTGATTATTGATGTCTGTGTTTCTAAATAAACGCAAGTGAAAGTGAAAGTGATTTGATCAGAACAACTTTTTTTAAATGGTTTGGATTATAAGAAACATACAATTATCATATGCTGTAGGACCACTAAACTGTTGCTATCAAGTTAAACAAGATCATCTGAATGAATTTCATTTTTCAGATCACAGCATGATTATGTCAAAACATAACCAACACTTTCAGATCACACTTGTCTTTGTTCATTTGACTGTAATAAATCAATAACAGCAAACAAACAAAATTTAAACTTAAAGTATAAGGATCAAGCCCAACTAAAGCAAACACTGATCGCCATAACGGTGGCTTACAATTTTAGATTTTCTCCTTCAGTGATTCTGCTTGTTATCATCAGGTGTCTTCAATAATGCTCAATGATCACTAAATTAATCACTTAATTATCTCATTAACTTTAACACTCTTCAGTGTTAATTTAACACTCATATCTGCATCATATCTTCCATCTGAAAGCAGGTGAAGGTGATTTACTACTAATCAAAGAACCGGCTTTACTGAAGAGACGCGCATAATAATATCGTGCGATATATCGCCCAGCCCTATTCATAACTGATTACGCAGCACTGCTTGATCTTTTGCTGTAGTTTCACAGTCTAGTAAAATAATCTACACATTATTGATAAGGAATAGACACAGGCTGAGATTGGTGATCCAAACATTATATAATGACATCATAATCATCAACACCTGATCTCATTTTTGATGGGTTTGTTTTTGCCACAACAAATGTGTCTTAAAAACACACAGTTAGAGCAGGCAAAGTAAAGCTAATGTTAGTCAAGGGTCAAGAGCCCAACCAAAGCAAACACTGATCTTCATAATGGTAACGTCAAATGAAAGAAAACAACATTCTAAACCTCTGTTAATTCTCAATAGGAATTTATGTAGACGTATGAAAAAAATAAAGTCATTCTGGTTAGTAATAAGTGAAGCTGGTAATGCTATTTTTGGGATTTGTTTAATCCTCCTCTGCTGAGATCTGAAGTCAGTTGCAGTTCTTGTGTTTCGCTTTTTTATCTTCTTGTTGTTCCTCTGTCCTTCAGTGATTCTGATTGTTAACATCAGGTGTTCATCACTAATGCTCAATCATCAGTTGATTAATCACTGAATTATATAATTAACTTCAACACTGCTTCAGTGTTACTCCAACACTCTGTAGTGTGGAAACAATTTAAAACTGAAGATTTTGCAGTGGGGTTGAAAGGGTTAAATGTGTCAGATAAAAAAAAAACAGAGTGAAGCGTATTTTAACGGTAATCAACTGTAAATTAATTTACGGCATAAAACTGTAGAAAAACAGCAACTTACTGGCAACCCAGCTGCCAGTAGATTACCGTAAAATCAAGGAAAAACGGTAATATTCTGTAAAATGTTACAGTTAGATGTATTAAACAAAAGAAGTTAATTTCACTGAAATATAAGTGAAAGTTCATAGAAAAAAAGTTATGCGAAGTCAATAACTGATAAGTAGAGTAAATATTAAACTGAAGTGTTTTATGTATTTTGCACAGGATGATACAGGAGAAATCTGTTAGTTTAATTGAGTTTTGTGGGTCACCATTGTGCTGGAGAGTAGAGCCTGTGCTTCAGTCAAAGATGAGCAGAGAAACACTGATGTTATGCTGCCTGTTGCTTTATGTAAAAGCAGTAACTGTGTAGTTGCTGATACAGTGACAATCTCCTTGCTAAGTACTTTAGCACAATGTATGCTAATGTTTGCTATATAAACTGCAAAGACTTTAAAAAGACTTTGCAAAGTTAAAATCATGTTTTTAATTAATTCACTATTACATATTAGGTGTTTGCAGTTTTATATAGAGATATTCATTTTCAGTGGACTCTAATGAAGGAATTTTACGGTACTATCAGTATAAATACTAGTTTTTGAACTCGAACTGTTTAAAGCAATCGGTTTTCCATATGAGTCACCTGCAATGGTATTTTTACGGTAACAGACTGTAAAAAAGGAGAGCTGTAAATTAACGGTAAAAGGCTGTAAATTAACAGTACATTGCTGGAAACCACAGCTGCCAGTAGATTACCGTTATTTTACAGGGCAATTTTTTACAGTGTGGTGCTTTTTATCTTCTAGCAGACCTTAAGACTGAAAAAAGGCCTAAAAAAGAAATTAACTTAACTGTAGACCAATATCAACTAACCTCATTGCTGTATTTTGCATTATTGTTTACCAAACTTAAGTTCGTGCACTCACCAAAAAAAAACAGTCTGCTGACAATAGAGACCAAAAAGGAAAAATAAAAAAGCGAAACTAAGCCACCTCACGCAGAATGTTGTCCTTAACATATGCCATGGCCTCCGCTGCGTCTTGAAACTGCTTATCCGTCCCGTTATACGTAATCCGAAATCGGGCTGGATGTAGGAGACCATAGCGGACCCCCTCTCATCCTCAAAGTAGTTTACGGACCTCATTAAACGCCGACCTGGCACGGGCTACACTCGGTGGATAATCAGGAAAGATGAGTATGGTTGAGCCGTTATGTTGTAGCGGGCCAGATTTCTGTGCGAGGCGGAGGATTTCGACACAATCTTGATGGTGGTGTAATTTAGCTATAATCGCTCTTGGTTTGCCATCCATCCGTTGGTTTCGCCTGTAAAGTGCGGTGGGATCTGTCAATCAGCACGTCTTTATCCATTTTAAGGACTTTTTTAATCAGCCTTGAAACAGAAGTAGGGATGCTGGAGCCATCTTCCTCAGCTACATTCATAATACGGATATTTGACCTCCGCATTCAACCTTCCATGTCCAAACATTTCTCCTGTAAATTTTGAACATTTTCCTCCAGCTTGCGCACAGAGTTTTGTAGCTCTGTGATATCATCCGAGCACCCTGAGAGTCCTCTTTCCATGTCCGACACAGTTGTTTTAATCACTTCCAGGTCTGACCGAAAAGCTGACGTGTTGTTATCTCCTGTCTAACTGCTTGTAGCTCTGATCTAACTCCATCAAACTCTTTAGCCATGATTGACTGTAACTCGGTTTGGAAAAGCGTGGTCATCTCCATTTTTATAGAGGACAATAACTCTTCCTTCATCTCCGTCGTCATTTCAATCTGTTCTCCAGTTTGTTGAGCTTGTTCAGCCGTCTCGGGTGTCGTGTTAGCTTCGTTGCTAACGCTAGGTGTGTCGGTGCTCGTCTTGTTAGCAGAGGCCTTGCCCGTGTATTTGTATTTACGCAGGTTGCTCACCATTTACGTTTGTCAGGGAATAAATCATCTTCAAAAATGCAGGACAATCTTAGTCTTTTTGTATCACACAGTCGACCAAAGTACCATTTACAAGGGTAAACAATATAATTTTGTGCAGAGCTCTCTAAACTTGCTACCTACTCCATTGCCTGCTCGCTATAGCGCCCATCCACAAAGTCTTTTGACCCCCAAAAGAGGGTTAGTAAATCTGGCCCTTCATGTGAATAAGTGCTTGCAAAAAGGATTTCTTAGGAAATACCTAAGCATTCCTTAAAATACTTTAATTGCAAATTCTTCATAATTATTCCTTTATAATGACTATTTATAGCTAATTGATTCAGTGCAGTTATACATTATGACGGATGTCTGTGTTTCACAGGTTTCTCTTCTTGGCACATAACTGTGTTGGTTTTCTGTTTCGTTGCTGGATTTGGAGCTGTACTTCTGCTCTGCTGTCTGATATATTGCAGATCAAAAAACACAGGTGTGTTTGGAAGGAAAATCTTTTTATTTCATGTGATTAACTGTATTAATCTTGTATTAATAAACCTGTATTAATTAACTGAATTAATCTTGGGATTAACTGTCACAGAGTTTCACTCGTTTAACTGTGACTATTCTTCATCTTCTTTCCAGTCAACAGCAGAACAATCTGGAATCTTCAGCTTTCTCTGGTCTTTTGTCCAAATGTCTGTATGTTCTTCGCCTTCATCCTCTGGGGTCTCACTGAAGGTGAGTTGAGCATGTGGCATATTGTATTGTAATTGTGTTGTGATGGGACTTAAAATGTTTTATTTGATTGATATTGTTTAACACCCGTCAATGTATATTCTGTTCCAGGATTTATCCATGAGACCGTCACTTGCTGCGCTCTGTTTATTCTGAGGCCTGTCATGTTGATTTGGGCTTTGTCTTATTTAAAGTATCTCAAAGGTATGTTAGGATTTCAAGTTTTTATTATTATTATTATTATTGTTAAGGGGATCAGTAAATGCAAATTGATGGCAACATATTAAGACTTAGCATGACAATATTGATTAATTCTATTCCGGTTAAATACATTAAATTGTCAATAGTATGAAAGTATGAAATGATTTAAGACCACAAACTCAAGCCTCATTTTTTCCCTTTAGATTATTTTCTAACTGTATTCTTGGCATGTATTGATTGTGTCAAGAAATTTGTAGTGTTTGGTGAAAAATACACTTTGTCCTACTCAAACTATAAAACTGCTTAAATGTAAAGTACAAGCAATGTAACGGATATGTAATAATATTCTATAATGACCTGATTTGATTTGTTCAACCCTTTCTGTCTACAGACAACATTAAAACATGGATCAGGTTTTTCAGAATAACAAGTGAATTTACTGTTTTCACAGTCGTTGTTTATTCAGGTGAGTAAATCCTAATGTTTCACATCAGAGGTCATGCTCATTATTCTGAAATTAATAGTGCTTTATGAAATATTACCTGTTTTGCTAACTTCAATAGACTTGGCCAGAATTCAGCCATTAAATCTCACTCCACCCTCTCTTTTTCTAAAATCCAATCGTCCAAACCTGAATACTCAAAATGATTAAAATACAGATAGTGTCTATCCCAGGATTACTTTCTTTTTTGATTTCTCAGAACATCTATTTCAGTGATATCTGTCAAGTATAAACATTTCCTGCATGCTGCTTTAGTGCAACAGAAACTATGGGTTTAAAATGTTTGAAATATTGTTCATTACAAAATAATACAATTACAGATTTTTATAGGTATTTACTGCATGTACTGTTGCCTTTTCTAAAAGATCATGATCATGTGATGTTATGGCCTCATTTAAGTGTGTTTGTTTGACAAACACTGTCCAGTTCTCCACATCTTTAGATATGTTCTGTTCTTGCTCAGGACATCATTTATCTTGTGTAACTTTTTCATTTTTATCTATTCCTCTAGTTCTTTTTACATATGTCTGGAGAAAGAGTGCACATGATACAGGCATTGGACGTCGTGTAGTTTCTGGACTATGTTTTGGAGGTGTTGTGCTGTTGTGTCTCATCCTGAGCCGAAGTAAGTTCCTGATTTGATTCCTTACTTTGTTAAGGCGGCAGGCTAAGTATATATAAGCACAGATTTATTAGGTTAATAAGTTCATTACCAATGGTTTTGTTCATATACATTTATTTTCCATTTATTCTACAATTGCCAAAAATGAAAATCAAATACATAAGTGCCAAGTTTTCAACTTTTTGACCTAACTGTGTAATGTTTGTGTTTTAGTGGACTTCAGAAGGCTACGCAGTCAGGAGCGGGCTTCCTCACTCAGGCAAACTCGAGGTGAACACATTCTTATTGTTTTACCCCAATATGAGTTATTAGAGTTGCAAAATACTATTAGCTCTAAAAAAAACTTTGCTGATCATGTGCTCAATACAGCATTTTACATAGTCACAAATATAGTTTAATATAGACTGTGTGTTACTGAGTGTTGGAAGAAAAGAATAATCCAAAATA